ATAACAACACTCACGTAGTCTTTGTATTGGTATAATTATCATCAATATTTTAGATTCTATGGTTATTTTTCTCTCTTCACTGAATTCTAATCCTTTTGAAACATACTATATATTGTTTAAGGGCTTTTGTAGGGTACTTATTAATCAAGTTCAATACTTTCATGTTTATATGAAAAACAGAGATGAGTTATCGACAATTTATTGCAAGCCTTGAGAAATGTCTCTCAGGATATCTGCAGCAAAATAGTTTTTCATATTTTATCAAAAATAAACCCACAACAATTCCTGTGATGCTCTGAAAATAAAGCAAGCACAATATACCAAAGCTCAGCATGAAGAGGGTGCTCTCCTGATGGCTCAGTATCGACAGCTTCCCTTGACGCGACGGCTCCACACTGGCATATTCCAACTCCAAATTCTGACCAGCATCCACGTCATAAATGTCACTTTTTTCAGGGTAGCCCATTACCCTGAGGTTACAATTGGGCTGCACCGTAATGGGGACACCTACAGCATTTTTGACAGTAAAAGGAGCCCTGTCTTTTAGAGAGTAGTCAAAAGTGGAAGCAGCCCCTTCTGAGAAACCCTGCAAAGGAACATATCACTGTAAAATTTGTGCAAAGTGTGCATTTCTTACAAACACTTTACCATGGCTACACATGTTTTTTCAAATTCATTTTGATGATAAAAAAATAAAATCCACGTTTCATTCTTAAATTCTACATAAAATATTCCAAATAAGAATCAGACATACTTTTGCTAAATTGTTGAAAACAGTAAGACAACTTTTGGATATAGTGATATTCATTGTAGCCCCTGAAGAAATATGTATAGCCATTTGTGGATCAGGAATAAAATCATCCCCTGGCATCAAACTTTTATCTTGAGTCAGGTTCTTCTTTACCTAGGAAGACAAACACCATACAGGATTTACATTATCAGCCAACCAGTCAACAATAAAATTTAAAAGGTCAATAGTGATGAATTCTAAACTGGTTGCTCATATTAAGTTTCCTCAAGGTCTCACTTTCCAAAACCCTGGGAGCCTTCCTGTGACTTAGTGTATCAGCAATCTTTCACTCAGGGCATTGTTCATGCACAGGGAAATGCTTCGAATGATGCAAATAAAGCTATATCAGCTAAAACGTCTGACTCCTGTATACCACTAAGGCAGCTTACTAGCTCCTCAGTGCTTTCTAACTGGTGATTGAGTTGTTAGCAATAGAAGATGATTCCCAAGTCTAAATGGATTCTGATTAGAGATACTATCTGGAAATAACAGGTTTTTATTTTTTCCTACTTCTTTTTACCAGTACCACCTATAAATAAATAATATAAGCTTTTGGATTCAAAGGATTACAAATAACAGTCACATTATTATTCCAAAAGTATTTCAAAACTTTTGTTAAATATTCTTTGCTAGTCTCTGTATGCCAAAGAGAAATAGACCAGAAATATTACCTCTACTTTACTCAGAAGAAATTGGGATGTGATATAAGTTAAATGTGTTCTCATCTTTTTAAAAAGAATCTGCTACACCAGCTTCCATGTAAGGAACCACCATTAGGCAACCACAGAGAGGGGAAGTGATGAGAGTCTGTTAATAATACAGCTCACATTCCTGCTAACCTAGAAAATGTGCTTTGATATCTAGGATTCTGAAGTAATCTCAAGAAATAGCAAAACCAGAACTGAGTTATGATATTTTCAATTTGGAGGCTCACTCCCAAAATCAGTGAATATCTCAAAGGGCTCCTTTTATGAGTTAGTTACCAATATGCCCTACATTGGAAATAAAAACCGAGAAAATGTTGATTTAAAAATAAAAGTTATACATTAATATAAATGTTTTAATGAAAAAGATAGTTCAGAGCTAAACAGGATGAAGATACAAGTTAAAAGTATTTTGAGTGCCTGTCTTAACGCAGATAAATTCTTACCTCTCAGTGTGCGGAACTACCATACTTATGTAATACCTCAAAAACTCTCTGTATGTTCAGGAGAAAATAAGAATAAAAATGACATTCAATGTCTCAGTGTTCCTATGAAGAGGTTTTGGCCCTTGAGGATCTCTGAAAGGGCATTTAAGGATCCTGGATCAAATCCTGAGACTCACTGAACTAAACACTATAAAGGAATATGCTTAGCATCACTGAATACAAAGGCACTTCTTGGTTTCCTTACATTAAGCTTTAAGTTCCATGGTGTCCTCCCCTCCACTCTTTCAATCAGTGGCTCCCAGACAGCATGGGTTTCATTATAATAATGAACCTGAAAAGGTACAGAGTTATAACTACGCAGCTGTTCAACTTTAATCACAATTTTGTAACAAGTATAAAAAAGTATTAAGCTACTAATGTTTTATATCAATAGCCATTCTGAAACCACAGCTAAACACACACACACACACACACACACA